GCCCTGACTTAGCCTCGCTTGCTTGGGTCCTAGCGCACTCCTGCCAGGCAGCGGGTGATAGGACGTGCTTTTCCGAATTAATGAGAGAAAACGTTGATTCTCCTGCTGCCCACGAAGGTGGAAAGTGAAGTGGGGAGACATGTGGGGAGTGAGCGAGGTTCCCTGTCTTGGGGTTCCAAATCTGCTGTTGGTTTCTTTCACCGCTGACTAGAGATATACAGGATGTCCCCCCAGAATGTATACACACTTAGAATACCTACTAATTCCAATGGGTTTAAGCATAAGAAAGAAGCAACACTGGAGCTGTTATCTCTTAAAAGTGTGGGCACAAACAGGTAGTTGGACATTCCCTGAGGGGTCTCAGATTGGAGAGGGTGAAGGCCAGACTGAGGGGCCTTCCCCTCTACTCACCCTCAGTGCACGAATTTCGTGCACCGGGCTACTAGTGTGTGTGTGTGTGTGTGTGTGTATATGCCTAAGCAACCAAACGACCAGTCAACTGGTCACTATGATGTGCAATGACCACCAGGGGGCAGATGCTCAATGCAGGAGCTACCCCCTGGTGGTCAGTGTGCTCCCACAACCAACCTCTTGCAGCCAGCCAACCTCCCATCGTCCTTCCCCCAGCCAGCTGGCCCCAATCGGCCCCGATTGCCGGCCAGGCTAAGGGACCCCACCCGTGCACAAATTTGTCCACTAGGCCTGTAGTAACCATATAATAATAGTTTGTGTGTGTGTGTGTGTGTATGTGTGTAAATTGATTAGTAAATAATTTTGATTAGATGTTTAGTAATTGATTAGGTGATTAGTAAGTAATTTATATAGTGGTTTTTGTTCCTTTCCAAATATATATATTGTAGTTGATTAGTAAATAATTTATATAGTGGTTTTTGTTCCTTTCTAAAAATCTGGGAACAGCAGTTTTCTATTTGAGTTTTATTGTCTACCTTTCTTTTTGCTCTTTCTGGATCCAGACTTAATCATTCTTATAGCATGTTTTCATTATAAGAAGTGAATAGGCCTAATCCCTCTTGTTTCTATGCTGTAATATTTTTTTATGGTTATTACATTTTATCTGATTCTGCATTTTTTGAAGGTAGAAACTATGTTTTAGTTATACTTTTGCCCATACTTGTTGCAATGCATTAAATCAATTATATTTAATTTAAAAAATCTTGAATACACACTGTATTTTACACATATTGTGCTGGGTGGTAGGAATGAAAAGATGAGTAAAACAGGAACTACTGAGGAGGGATTATGATCTGATAAAAGAGGTATTTGTGCAATTATAATGCAGAGTGATAAGTCCAATAATAGAAGTTTGAATAAAATATTTATTCTTGGGAGAATTGGAGGTGATATTTGAGCTGCTTTGAGGAGGATGAGTAGACATCCCTGAATGTCAGGCTTGCCAGACATAAGAACAACCTCATTGAATGGCATGTTCAGGAAACAATTATTTTAGTATGGCAGAACATAGCATATGTATGGGAATGAGGGAAGTGTCATGATGAGCTTGGGAAGGTCAGCTTGAAGACTTTGCCTTAGAATGGTCAGTGGGCGATGAGGTCGCTTACCAAGTTAGAAAGTGTAGAGCTGGAAGCAAGATGTATGAGAATGGAAAGGCAGATGGAGCTTGTTTGGAGGAGCTAGGCTTGAGGCTCTACAGAACAGCGAGGTGAAGATGAATAGTACGAAATTGGAAATAATTTCTTGGGT